AAGGCGACAATGAACAAAATCTAGAAGAATTCCCCAAGACATGAAAATTTGCACCGGATCATCTCAAGGAACAAATTATAGGTAGTCCATCCAAAGGCGTCATGACTTGCTCAAAAGCAATGAGCGAATGTGGTAATGTAGCTTTCTTATCCCAAATTGAGCCTAAACGTATTGATGATGCTTTAAAAGATGAGTTTTGGATTTTAGCTATGCATGATGAATTGAACAATTTTCAAAGAAATAATGTTTGGAAACTAATTCCTAGACATAAAGATACTCATGTTACTGGAACTAAATGGGTTTTTAGAAATAAACTTGATGAATTTGGCATAGTGACTAGTAATAAAGCTCGTTTAGTTGCCCAAGGATACAATCAAGAGGAGGGCATAGATTATGATAAAACTTTTGCAACGGTTGCAAGATTAGAATCAATTATGATGTTTTTGGCCTTTGTTAGTTTTAAAAACTTTAAGTTATTTCAAATGGATGTTAAAAGTGCTTTCTTGAATGGTTTTATAGAAGAAGAGGTATATGTTGAGAAACCCCCAGGCTTTATTGATTCTTCATTTCCAAATCATGTTTACCGGATTCAAAAAACTTTATATGGGTTAAAACAAGCTCCTAGAGCTAGGTATACTCGCCTCTCAAGTTTTCTTGTTGATAATGGTTTTTCAAAAGGAAAAATTAATAATACTCTTTTTGTTAGAGAAAGAAAAAATAATTTCATTTTGGTTCAAATTTATGTTGATGATATTATTTTTGGTGCCACTAATGAATCTTTGTGCAAGGATTTTTTTTCAAAGTTATGCAAGATCAATTTGAGATGAGCATGATGAGAGAGCTTACATTCTTTCTCGGTCTCCAAGCAAACAAACAAATGTAGAATATTCGTGTTGCAAAGCAAATATGCTAGAGAGTTGGTTAAGAAATTCGAGATGGAGAATTCCAAACATGCACCAACTCCAATGAGAACAACCATCAAGTTGGATGCGGATGAGAGTGGTGAGAAGGTAGACCAAAAGCTTTGTCGAGGTATGATTGGTAGTCTACTTTATCTTACTGCTAGTATGCCGGATATAATGTTTAGTGTTTGTGCATGTGCACATTTTCAAGCTTCTCCTAAAAAAACTCATTTGGTTGCAGTCAAAAGAATTATCAAGTATATTAATGGCACCATAGAACTTGGTTTATTTTATCCAAAAGAATTATCAAGTATATTAATGGCACCATAGAACTTGGTTTATTTTATCCTAAAAACACATCTTTTGATCTTTGTGGATATTGTGATGAATGGCACCATAGAACTTGGTTTATTTTATCCTAAAAACACATCTTTTGATCTTTGTGGATATTGTGATGTCGACTTTGCCGGTTGTAGGGTAGACCGCAAGAGTACGAGTGGTACATGTTAATTTTTGGGTAACTCTCTTGTGTCTTGGGCATCCAAAAAATAAAATTGTGTTGTCTTGTCCACTATGAAAGCGGAATACATTGTCGCCGGCTTGTGTTGTGCACAACTTTTATGGATGAAACAAAATTTGGTTGATTTTGATTTACATTTTCATGATACAAAAATACTTTGTGATAATATTAGTGCTATTAATATTTCAATAAATTCTGTTTGCATTCTAGAACCAAGCATATAGATATACGCCATCATTTCTTACGTGATCATGTAGAGCGAAAAGATGTATCCCTTGTTTATATTGATACTAAATCACAATTAGCGGACATCTTTACCAAGCCTTTTTGTGAAGAAGATTTTTGTCGCATAAGAAATGAGTTGGGCTTGTGCATTCTCTGATTGGTTGTTTTAATGACATTATTAACCTTATAATATTGGCTTTTGATCTATCTCATTATTAACCTTATATTTATTGTCATAACATGTTTAAACACACTAGGATACTTTGTGTGAGTGGTTAGGAGAGATCGGGTCAATTCCAAGAGGAGTGGGTTGGTAGTAATGCCTAGGGAGAGGTCGTAAATCCAAACACTTGAGGAATGTGACGCGAACAAGCCAACACTTGACGGGTATCTTGTGGGTTTTTGCATGTATCTCATTTTATCTACCCCGTTTTTTATGGTGCCAAAGGGGGAGAAACATCTCCTCTTTTGTGCATAGTTAGGGGGAGAGAGCCTTGCAGATTGGAGGAGAAACTATCTATAAGTTAAATATTCATTTTTTATTTGCTCTTGAATAATGGTTATTTGTCATCATCAAAAAGAGGGAGATTGTTAGCCTTTTTCTTTTGATGATGATTTACAAACACCATTATTGGTGCTAATTGCTTGTTGAGCTATATTGTGTAGATTACAATTTATCAAGCTTGTTAGCACTGGATGGAACAACAAGCTACAACAATGATATCCATGGAGGTGAAGGCAAAGTGATGAAGCAAAGTTTTCAAAGAGCACAACATACAAGAGAAGCTTCATCAATATAAAAGAAAATATCAAGACTAAAGATATGTACTTATATGTGAGGGATATTTGTATTTTTATTTCTCTCTAGTGCTTAACGTAGGCAAGTAGTATGATTGATTACATTTAAAGTTCTTGGGATAACACACTCATACATTTTCAAAACTCGTATTTTGACATTTTTGCTAAACGTTGATTTTTCACAAATACCATGTCCTTTTTGCAAAATTTCTTTTCAAACGAGTTTGTTATTATATTTGAAAACTTTTCCCAAAGTTTCATATTTTTTAGAATTTATTTACCATTTTTAAAGGGCCTGGAAAATCTTTTTTAAAAATCAAAACAGGCTGAAAATCTGTTATCAGTCGACTTAAGAAACTGGTCAGAATCATCAAAAATTTCTATTTCTGCGATTGACGTTCTATCAGTTGACTAATGACCCTTCAGTCGACTGATGAGCTCTTTAGTCGACCGACGAGTTGCAAACCGCTTACGACGGTCAGCTCATCAGTCGACTGATAAGCTTCCAACAGCTAGTTTTGTACAGTTTCCAGATTTCTTAATTTTTGAACGTTTTTTGTCTGTTTCTTTGGGGTTTGGCTGTTCTCTTGAATGCTTATTAATACCCATCAACCCCATTCACTTCAGGAACTAAGCAAGCATTTAAAATCTCTTGAGTTTGTGCTTATTGTTTAAAAAGAGCTTCAACTTTTAATTGTTTTCATACTTACTGATCTCACATCCCAAGCTTCAATTGCAATCTCTTCATCTAGCCATAGGGATGTTGTAAGAGAGCTTCTTTTCTTTCATTTGTAGCTCTTGGGGAGCTTGATCTCATGGAGATCTACTGTGTGGTTGTGAGATCTCAAGAGGAGATCATTATGAAGAAGTTTTGGCTTTCAAATCGGGTTGTGATAGTGAAATTCTACTCGAGAGTGGGGAGCGGGGACGTAGGTCGGAGGACCGAACCTCGTGAACATATCGCGTCACAATTGGCTAACTATTCCCTAACTCATTTCCTTTATATTGATTTAGCATTTAAATTTTGTGGTGTATTGCATTGTCTTATTTAATTGCATTTTTATTGCCTCATAACCCTATTCACCCCCCTAGGGTATTACAAATAGAACAACCAAATATGTTACTTTTAGTTGTGTCCTGGTACACAAGTAACACAACCAATCAACATTTCACCTTGAACCCACATGATGTAGATAATGTTGTGTCATAGCCTGGAAATTCAAAAGAACTGAAATACAACAGATGGTGACAGGGAAAATAACTTTAACTTAACGTTTTCCATGTAGGTACTCTAAGAACAGGGAAAATAACTTTTTGAGAATAGATTGCAAAGAAAAGACTCCTCTAAGAACAGGCAGCAGACACACACAACAACCAAATCCGAAGACAGTTACAGAAATGTAATATAAAACTTTCTGAAATATACTCAAATTCCCAAAATTTCATTAGACATTTGAATCGAAGGATTAGACATGATTTATATTCAATTAAATTAAAAACAACTTACTCAAAAATCTTATGCACATATGATATAACATATTGACAATGAAATTAAAAGTAAAGTTTCGATTCGACTTTATGGAAAGATGGCAGATCCGACGGCGAGATCCGACATCGTGCGGCGAAATGAGGCGGGCGCGGGCGAAGACGAGGCGAAGACGACGGGATCTGACAAGGCGGACTGGCCAAGATGAGGCGAACGCAGACTAGACGAGACGAGGTCTAGACAGGATCTGACGACAACGGGACGCGGGCGAACGACGAAGACGACGCCGGCGACAGGTCGGAGTCTTGGGTTGGGACTGTTGGGATCTGACGAAATTGAGCGGAGGCTGGAAATTGAGTGGAGGCGGAATGGGATATCACGAGGTTAGGGTTTTTAGTTGTAGTTTGGTTTTGGGTTAGCGATTACGGGTTTGTAACTTTGGATACGACCCGAATCCTTATTACATTACGAATATTCGTATCCGTATCCAAAAAAAATCCGATGATTCGTATAAAAAAAATCCGAAACCAAATCCGTATCTGAAACCGTATCCACCCGGTTTTGAAATTAGCTTATCATATCCGCATCCGTTCGGATACGGATACGGATATGGATCGGTTCGGAGATATCCCCTAGAACAGCAATCAAATACTAGGAAACTTATTTATATTATTTTTATAATGAACAGAATAATGCCATAATTTTAATACATGAGTCATCATATTAGTTGGTAATTTTGGGAGGTGATCTTCTATGCTAGAATTCCTTAACCGTTATCAAGTAAATGGCCTTCGACGATTAACTATGGAACATTGAAACGTGTAACAAGCAAGATTTTGCTCAACGTCCCTAAAAGAGAAGAAATGAATTTGCAATTCGGTGCCTCACGTAATAAGGAAATTCAATGGTTTAAACCTCTTACATGCAAATTTATCAATATATGGCGGATTCGATGGGCATGTATTGGTGTTGTAGATACATAGCATATTAACAATGTATTCAACTATATGTTGATATACAACATCAAAAGCAGAGAAATTTTTATTGGACAAAATAAAAACTTGTCATATAATTAATAACAACGCTGCTATTTGGCTCGCGCTTTAACACGCGAGCCAACTCACACAGAAACAGGGGTGGGACCCACTGTGGGGTGGGCCCCACTAGCACAGTGGGTCCCACCCCTTTGTCTTTGAGCGAGTTGGCTCGCACGTTAAAGTGCGAGCCAAAAAGCATTTTCGAATTAATAAAGATGGACAAACAAAAATCGGGAAACATTGACATGGCTATCAGCTTGGTTTCCAGCTGAGATCAGAAACTGTAAATAAAATTCAGTAACTATTAACAAATAATACAATTATAGATAGGATAGCCACCTAAAAAGGAAAGAAAAGAAGGCTGGACGGTATTGAAGTGGCACGGAAGAAAGCTACTCTTATTAACTTGATTGTGTACTCATTTCAGAAATGAGGCGAACTTCGTATAGATCTGGATTCTCCCCTGTCCCTGTAAAAAATAATAATATGGTCTTAGCTTACAGCAACACTGTACATTTCACTTTCACATAATAAATTTTAAAAAGAAAGAATTTTTATATAGTCATACCAATTTCAGCAGTGATCCCTGGTCCAAAGAATGATGTAAATTTTGCCTACAAATGCAGAATCAGAAGTTTCTATGAATCAGCAAATAGATGCATCCCATGAGAAAAGTGGTAAAGATGAAAATTGCAAATGCAAGTTCATACTACTCATGTATGTAGTAGTTTGTGGTTTTTAAGGAAGCTCTATTCCATGAGTCAGAATAATAAAAATTTAGACAATAGCACACAAGTTCTAGTTAGGAGTTAGGCTTAAAAGAAGAACTAATCTAAGGCAATTAAATGTAACATATTTTGAAATGAATGAGAATAGTTGTAAGTAAATTAAATAGAAAAGTAAAAAATTTAAATAATTAGTAACTTGCTGTGTGATGGGAAAGAAATCCAAACGCATTTTTATTACGAGGAGAATACACTGCTATTCAGGTCATCAGCTCTTTCTTTAGTTGTTCCCATTTTAGAATAGTTATCCATTTAACTACTCATCGTATAACAGAAACTGGATTTCTGGCAGCCTACTTTACCTGTCTTTTCTCAAAATCAGACAGTTGCAAGAGTTTCGCTTCAAAAACAAGGACTAAACAGTATTTCCCGTCTTCAGTGACCTATCTAGCAGAAAATCATTAGAAGACGACTATAGAAGAATAATGAGATCTGCTCGCAAAAAAAAATAGCAGAATTGAAAACAGTATTTAACATCTTTTTCAGTGACCTCTTGGAGGCAAAACAATCATTAACAGAAAAATTAGGGAACTAAACAAAATTAAAATTGAGGGGTTTCTCATGAAAACCACCATTAAAAATACGGCAAAATGATAGGAACCACCTTCAAACTTTTTAAAGAAAACCACCTTATAAGTGAGCTTAACTTTCAAACCACCACCAACTTTTAGGGCAACTTTTGTTTAATTTTTCCCGAACTACCAAAATACCCTCCTCCCTTCTACCTTCTCCCACCTCATCCACCCTAACTACCCCAAGCCCACCTCCACCCTCTTCCCTCTGCCCTCCTCCTTCTCCGTCCCATCTCAGCCCTCCTCCTCCCCCACCCGTGCTCTTTTATCCATCTACCCTCCACTCTCCTCCGCCACGTCTCCTCCCTCCTCCACCCTCCATTCCGATTCCACCTTCCTCCCTCATGTTCCACCCACCCTCCTTCCTTTCTCTTCCATCCCACCTCACACTCCTCTCCTCCATCTCAACATTGGTTGGCATGGAGGAAGATGAGAGTGAAGGTAAGGCGGATGAGGATGGCAGAGGTAAGGTGGTCATAATTGGGGAGGTTAGAGAGAAGAGAGGAGGGTATTTTCGGTAATTAAGGTTAAAATTGAAGACAAATTGCATTGGAGTGGTTGTTTGAAATTTAAACCCCATTATTAGGTGGTTTCTCATTGAAAAGGTGGTTCCATCAAATTTCCGTATTCTAAAAGATGGTTTTTATGAGGAAAAGAAAAACCTGAATTTGATGAAAAACAGAACATTGTTTTGATAAAAAACAACAGAACTTAAAACAGTGGTTTTCATCTTCAGACTTACATCAACAAGAAAGCATTAGCACTTGCTCACAAATAGAAAAAAAAGAAAAAAGACAACTATATGTGATTGATGACATCTGGGCAGAAAAATCAAGATACCATGAATGTTAAAGCCTTATTTATAACACCATTATCAAACAGATCGAATTTGCACTGGTTTAAAGTTCAAAAATAGCCCACAAATGTACTCAACTTTATGCGAACCAGGCAATATCTAGACCTAAAGAAATCTAGGGGAAAAACAGTGCATGAAGCATTTTTAATTTAAAAATGTAGAATAATAAGTTTTACTGAATTGAAAATGCAAATAAAATAATGTGAACAAGTTTTTGAACATGCTCAAAGTTCAACAATTAACAATAAAGGTTGTACCCCAAATTCTCAAGGCCACAACAAGAATCCCATTCTTGATTTATTGCTCAAAGAGTCATCTCTTATCAAACATTAGTGACTATCTGGCATACACCATCACGATGAAAAGATCCACGAGTCCGCGTCTGACACGTGTCGGATGCGGATTCATTGGGGGCGCATACAGGTTCAAGACAAAACAAACCCGAATTCGCAACCCTATAATCAAAATTGAAGTTTATTTGCTCAACGGGTTTAACAACTAAAGGTTATTTAAGTTGAAAACCCAAACCAAACTCTTAAGTCTTCTCAAAAACCTGATCCTTTCCCTATCTTTCTCCGCCCCCTCTTTCGTCGTCTTCAACCTAGAAAACCTTTCATCCCCAAAGCTGCTCAACTCCATCAAAGAATATTAAAGAGGAGTTTGTCGGAGATCAAAGAGAGCTAGAGAAGCATTTGAGAAGACATTACAAAGAACTGGTGAGTAAATTTTAGTTTTTTAACTTCTAGGGTTTATTAGGGTTTTCAAAATTGACTTGTAATTTGTAATTGACTTAGGATTTGTGTTATAGTGTCGAAATCATCACAGTTTGAACAATTTATTGATGTTATCTCACTATTTCACTTTCTCAGTTTCATTTTTTCAATAGTTTTGAACAATTTGTTGTGTCCCCATATCCTAAGTTGTACAAATTTGTCGTGTCCCTTATCCATATCCGTGTCCGCACTCGTGTCCACACCCGTATCCGTGCAACCTAGCCAACTATGATATTCTCGTTTACGACCATATCTATTTTTCTTTCGATCTACCCCTAGTCCTTATAACACCTTCAAACGGATGCCCTCGTGTCTTCTTGCTGATACCATAAACGCAAAATTTTAAACTATGAGGAAACAACCAAAAGGCAATAAAAGATAACAAACGTTCATAGCTACTAGATACCTAACCACCTTAGTCCGTCTTTAACTTTGTAAGGCAACAAATTTGATATTTAATCTACATGATATGCTAGTAAAGGCTGACTCACTCAAGTGTGTGATTGAATTATGGCCATGCCATGTTCAAGACTGGGCTACAACTTTTATTTCACACAGATGAACAAAAAAAGGATGCAAGATATAACTGGTATATTGATAAGTTTTTTTTCTCTCTAAATGCACTATCTTATTATTTTTCTTCTCTCTGAAATAATTTCTTTAAGTAACCTACAGACTGAATATAAATAACGCCCTAAAGGCACTTGAGTCTATGTAGAGGCATTATAGAGAGTTATTAGTCTCTTACAATGAGAATATTACTATACAGGAGCAAAAGGTAACAGACTGAAGATACAATGAGGAGAACTGCGGGGTTAAAGTTAATTAATAAATTTGTATAAATCGTCCATAACATAAGAACTTTGAAACAAACAGGACACAAAATGACTGGAAAAGTATTATGATGCTCATTTAGAACAATATATCATGAGTACATCTGTACATGATTGCACAAAAAATCATTAAATTAAAATGATGGAAGGTATATATGGGAGATAATAGAGTATAATCATCAAAATTTAAGCCACAACTTTGGAATTTTAATTCGGTACTAGAAATATTAAGATGGAATAAAGGTCAGGTACCTCCAGATCCATGAGAGCACTTTAACCAGATAATAATAACTATATATTCATCATAATTTTGGACTTTTTGCGCCACGGTAGAGATACTTAGGTGGTGAAGTAGACAGATTTAGATCCAGATGAGAATGCTTTTATTTAAAAAGTAAAGAATGAAGCGGATTAAAAACAACATTGTTGCAGCAAAACATAGGTTTCAGTCCATGGTAAGGACCTTCAACGGTTCAAAACCCTTAGAATTGAGTATGTGGGAAAATCAACCACCCTCCCTATAACTTTGGGACTGTTGGTACAATGGCAAGAACATTAAGGCCTATAGGTAAAAAGAAACAAAAAATAGACAGCTGTACTGATTTTTTGTGTAAGAATAATAATCCATGTCATATTCACAAAGCCTACGGCTTCCTGCACTAAGGTGTGGCTTCCTGCAATAGGGGAAACTAGAGAAGGCACATCAAGAAGATAGAAAACTATAGGGATGAAAGACCTACAGCATAATAAACAAGGAATCTCTCTTAAATGTGGCGCCTAGAATACTTTCATGAGTGAAACAGAAGTGGCATATCAATTAGAGTGTTCACAAGACAAATAGATCATGGATATACCATGAGCTTTGCCAAGTTAAGACGGACAATAATTCAATTGATGTAAAGAATAGAAGGAACTGACTGGTCCTATAGGATGCAACTTTAGTAATTTAGACTGGGTGTGGTTATCAAAGTAACAATTGTGTCGAGGTGTGTACATGAACAGATAGAGTCAGATGTGCCATACACAAATATCAGTTGTAATTTTTTACATGCTCCTGGACAATGGACATTATGTTGTGTATATGACGATGTGTCCATTTTCATGCGACATAGACATCAAGTTAGCCAACTCATTACCAAAGTTGGAAGGAGAAAGCAATTATCATATTGAGATGTCTTGTCACCTAATGAATACATGGCAAGTCTGTCTCACATAGAATGATGCAGCTCTTGTATATATTTGGTGGTAATTGACTACTAATAGCTGTCTCCTCTTATTAACTATCTAAACCTTCTTAATAGAAGCCACATTTGCCTCCCTCAATTCCCTACCTCAAATTGCGTGCATGGAAAAAGTCTAGTATAACCATGTACACCCCTAGTATTCCACTTTAACTGAGTAAACAAATTGTTTCAAGGACTTGTACCTAACTAATTAATTCTTCTCGTACATGTTGCAGGCGATATTTTGTCCATGAACAAATGACATGGGAAGGTTACCAGATTTTATAATTAGAATGAATAGGACCCTTTTTATGCTGTGATTCTGATGCAGTGTATCAAAGTTAAACAGAATTACAGATAATGTATTGTATTATTGTTGCGATAGCCATTGGCCATTGCAGGCAGGTCTGTTGAGCATCTGTTGTAATCACCTTCCTCTATTAATAGCATTCACAACTCTCATATTTCTACCTCAAACAGTGTGCATCAATAAGAACCAGTCTGGTAATGGCCAACCTCCTTACCCACTAATGTGATCAATAACAGGCACAATTACATTATTCGGATGTAACATGCCAGGAAACTTATCCTAGATAGAAGATGTCATTGCATGACTAATTGAGTAACATGCCAGGAAAACGTAGATGAGATCTTATGGAAGATCAACTAAATATATATAGAGCCTGAAATACCAGAATGTCAGGATGCGATTCAGATTAAAACTTCTCTTGACATATGTTACTATTTATAAGAGCTATTCCGAAACAGTACCAAATTTTCATTCTTTTGATGATGTCAAAATAATACAAGGAATAATAACTCTCTCATAAAAGACAATAACCATAATGAGAGACAAACAGCATATTGACATACCTGCCATTAATTACACTTGTAATTTTGGGATAACATAGGATTCATCAAAAAACATCTTATATGATTATAAAACTATAAGTAAATTCAATTTGACAATAAAATGTGATTGCATTTCATCAGGGAGATTTCACAGCCACAAAGCAGTGGTTAAAGCTAAAATTGAAAATTATAAGAACAAGATATACAAAGAACTTACTTCTTCCCGGATCATTTGTAATATTGGTGCACTACGTCGTGGAATACCACCACCCTGTAAGGTAAATGAAGAACTTGTTTTGCTAAGAAATAGGAATTTATACAAATATAAGTTATTACAGATTACTTTTAACAAAAGAGAAATCAATTAATCAAATATGTTTGTTTTGAACAGAGTGATGTAACCAAGGAAAAATTTCCATGTTATTTCTTGACTTTTTTTCAACGTTAGATGTAACAATGTATAAAGCGTAAGGGAAAAATATAACAGCCGAATATCATATCCCTAGATAAGCCAGAAAGCCAATGTTGTAAGTTGTAACACCCAAATTAGTAGAAATATCTACGCAACGTGTAGATATTATTGACTTAAAACTATGTAGTTCAGAAGGAGATCAAACCAATCTTAGTTGTCAAGGACTCAATGTCATGTTAAAGTGTCAGAGGCACAAGAGAACGTCAGGTGTAAAAGATAAGATCAGTCATGCAAACTCAACCTTCACAAGAGACAAATTTGTAAGAGAAACAAAGGGGAAAACTTAGAAAGCTAAAATATTGTTGACACATGATCACAACTTCAATACATTGAAACATGAGCAGCAATAGACATACAAAAATGGTTTGTTTTTCTATTTAGTATTTACACTTTCCCAGTTCTCCAAGAGATTGGGAGGTAATTTCTTTGAGGAAAATTCTTAATACATAATTTCTCCATGACGTGCAGATTTTTTTCAAGCTGCTGCTGAAAAAGCTATCGGAACTATACATTCTGAAAGAATAGTTTATTGTCTCAACTTTGTTTTTTTATAACTTTATCCACAGTTCCTATCATACCTTCATCTATAACACAAATTTACGTTATTATCCTTTTTGATAAAAATCAATGAAATCATGTCATTTACAAGTATATATTAATTTTTAAACAATATATATACTTTTTGCCTGCACTGATCATAAGGTAAGGCTCTATTTCTAAAGAAAGTAGAGACTACAAACATGGTGCCTTCAAAAGATTACTGAACTTAGAACTGTAAACAAAAAGAATGCTATTTTCCTCTGGAGGAAAAGCATTTGTGAGATGAATATTTTCCGCAAAAAATGTTGATTCAAGGTGGTGTATTTCCATTATATATTTAAAGCGAACACTTACACCCAGTGACACCCTGAAGAAATTTATTAGCAGTAGTTCCCCAAGCTCATAACTGTTTTACTACTAAGCACCAGAAAAACACTGTTCTTTTTAAATGTAAAATACTCTTAAAAGTTCTCAACACACATGAAGACAAGTCATTCTCCAAGCACATGAACTACTGGAGACTCAAGACTACAATATAAAATATGAACTAATCCTAAATATAGCATCATCAATGAACTTTGAAAGCCCGTACTCTAATTAATTCATGAACCCCAGTACAAGAGTACAGTACTAATAGGTGTAATCTTCTTCAAACAGTAGAAAAGAATATGAAAAGCAGAAAATTTTGTAGTAAAACTATTATCCACTACGTTCCTCTATCGAATGTAACATGCTGAAGATGATGTTCACTATAATTCTAGCTTTCCATCAGTAATCTTTAAGTTTGATGGAAACAAAGTTCCTTCCTTAAAGGAGTTAGGATATTACCTGGCCATACTGGAAGATTCGTTTCAGTGCCTCATCCAAGTGCTGTTCATCTCCATAACGATATCTTATGACATCACTCCTCACCTACATGTACATTACAAAGGCATAAGCAATCACATTTCTTATAAAAATATCAGCTGTATTGCGTACCATTCAGAAAGCTGTTTTTAGAGGTCCTTTCACCAATTAAAAAAAAAACATAATCTTTGCAATAGATACATCTTTGAGATGTGGACAGAAACCATAAGTTCCTTCCACTCTATGCTATGGTTGAAGAGACAGTGATAAACAAGAGACGAGATCCCCAAGCATCTTGCATCTCTAGATTTAAAAAAAAACGCTCGAACTTGTTTAGATTTATGCTCCTCTAGTTTGTCTACTCTGTCTGTCCTGTCCTGTTTGGCCAAAATTCTGGCATCCATGCATATTGAAAAACAAGTAACCTGAATCAACCCTCTTGAAACCTCATTAACTCATATTATGTTCTCAAAATAGTGATTTTATTAAAACAATCAGAGGGAAAAAAGGAAAACAAAGAACAGGAAGGTGTGATGTCTACAATAACAGAGTTAGCTGACGATAATGTTATACTTACAATTTACCTACTGTTTCTAGCAGATTTTGATGATTTCTCTAGGGAAAAATCAATATTTTAGCTGACACCAAACAACCAATGTGTAACCTGTAGCATGAACTAAAAAATGTGATAGTAACTAAAAATTGCAATCCCCACTGCCCCAAAACAAACACATAAAACAACACCTAGAGAAGTGTAGGAATAGGCAAACGGGTCACTGTTTCTGGCTCTTTCTATATTTTCTCTTATCTCATTAAAAGTTTAATGATCAAGTTTCACCAATCAAATAAATCTAGTTACTAAGAACTCATGTCACTCTCACTGAAGCCATCATTCACGTCCCTTTTACATTACAACACAACTGTTGTACTTAACTTGCTCATAAGAACCTGTATGCTTGGCCTTTTATAGCTATCTTACACATACCATGACTTATGTGTTACACTTATTGCATGTGTTACATGAGCAAGCATCTAGAAATTTGACTACCATCCATGGATCAACACAGTCATGTGTTTAGACAAAGACACATGAAAGTTGTGGAAACTACTTGGACTATCCAACAAAGCACCCTCTTAATCCAAATTTAGCTCTATTAATCATGCCAAGAATAGTCTTGAATTTATAGAAGAGTGCCGCTTTCAGGGGCTTGGTGAAGATATCCGTTACTTGATCACCGGTCGTTACATTTACCAACTCGATCTCTTTCTCTTTGGCATATTCTCTAGTAAAATGAAATTGTACATCAATGTGCTTGCTTCTTTCATGGTAGGCTGAGTTCTTTGCTAATGCGATTGCCGATTTGTTACCAACCTGTAGTTTTGTAGCATTTCTGGGGAAAATATATGTCGTCGAGCATTCTCCTTAACCAAATTGCGTGGCAAGTGCGTGATGAAGCTGCAACGTACTCTGCTTCACAAGAATGCCACTGTAGGTTGCTTCTTGGAGAGCGATGTGTATGTGGTACCTCCCAAGTAAAATACAAAGCCTGCAAGTAAAATACAAAGCCTGCAGTGCTTCTATTATTTTGATATCCATCCGAATCATTATCGCAATAACTTAAAAGTTATGCATTAGGTGAAAAAGAATAAAGTAGGCCATCATGTATTGTATCTTTTATGTAGAGAAGTATCCTCTTGCAGAGTTTGTGTGAGTAGTTTTTAGTTCTTCCATATACGGGCTTATAAGTCCAACATCATTTAGCATATGCAGTCTTGTAAATGTTAAATATCTCAGGCCTCCTACTAGGCTTTTGAAAAGAGCAGAGCCCACAACTTTCCCTTCATCATGCTTGGACAAGTTGATGTCAAAGTTCACTAAAATAGTAATTGCTTTGCAATTCACCATCTTGAATCTTTTGATAATTTCCCTTGCACAGCCTTCTTGAGAAATAAATATCTCATCATCATTTTGTTTGACTTCAATGCCGAGGAAATAAGCCATAAGTCCAATATCCGTCATCTCAAATTCTCTGTGTTAGTTTGAAGTCACCAAACCAAACATTTTTGGATTATTACCCATAAAAATCAACTCATGCACATATAGGCATATATGCAATAAATCTCCATTTTCTACTTTAGTGAAAGGGCCAGTTCATGAGGACATTGGACATAATCATTCCTCAAAAATATGCAATTTATTCAAGCCTTCCACGCCTCAAGCTTATTTTAAGCCATTTAATGTCTTATTTAATTAAACACTTTATGTTCTTGTCCTTTTACCTCATAGCCCATGGGTTGTTGTATGTATACTTCTTCATCTAAGTAGCCATTTAAGAATGTTAATTTGATATCCATTTGACAAGAGCAAATAACAAGAACAAATACCTCTCTTTACAATCGATCCCAAAATTTTTCTTGTAGACCTTTGCCACCAACCGTGCTTTGTATTTCTCAACTTTGTCTTCGGCATTCTTTTCTTTGTATACCCATTTGATTCCAATGGGTTCATGGCCTTTTCGTAGTGTGACAACCTCACAAGGTTGTTCTCAATAGACTTGATTTCTTCATCCACGTGGCTTTCCATCGCTCATTAGTGACTCCCAATAGAGGTTAATTGGCTCCCTTTCAGCAAGAAGACACAAGATGAAATTCTTTAACACGTTCATATAGATAATGAACAAACTTATGTTAACCTTGAGATGATGAGCTAGAGGACGTGGACGGTGAAGTTGAGGAAGTAGCAGTCAATAATGGCACGCTTAAAGGAGTAGAGGGTTGCAACTCCATGTCATCATATGTTTTTTCTTATCATTTGTTTGTTATTTTCATGTGCCTTCTTGATGTCTCAACGTAAGTTGCATGGGTACGGGTACAAGTATGGGTACCAATAAGAGTAGTGGTACGGGATACAATAAATTTATAAAATGTAGGGTACGAGGTCATTGCTATGAATATGTATGTTATGTATATTTATATGTATAGAAATTAATAACATGCACATGCTCAAATATATATTTTTATTTATATAAGATCAATTGATGCAGCGCACGTTTAATAAAAACAAGTTCTCCATTCTTATTATTAGTTTCTTATTTTCTGGAATTATTTTCTAAGTTTCCTAATTTCATGTTTCCTATTCTAAGTTTCCTAATTTCATTTCCTATTCTTAGTACGTTTCATATTCTTTGTATTATGTATTCTATTTAAGGCTTTGAGTTGTATCTAGGAAAAACAATCTGAATAATATTTTGGAAGAAAAGTTAGCTTTAGCTTTTTCTCAATTTGGGTTCTCGATTGTTTCTTTGAAACACCTATTCCACTACACCAAATTGGTATCAGAGAATGGATTTTCACCTGGACCTGATGGTTGAGGACGGTTATAGTGGGAGACAACTCGCCGACGACGAACGGCGACTCGAAAGGGTCGAACGACGACTCGAAAGAGTCGAACGGCGACTCGAAAGAGTCGAACAACGACTCGATGGATTTGCTGAAACACTTCGCAATCTGACGCAGATGATGGCTGTGTTGACTGCCGAAACGAGGCATGAAAGAAGGGAGAGGCTACCAGATCAAGTAGGGGACCGACCGGGGAATGGCAACCCCGGTGGCGATGGCGGCAAAGTGATTGGTGGCCAGCAGAACCCCGAGCAAGCAAATCTAGATGCGTGGAATCCTAGGGTCCAGAATCTCGACAACCCAGGCCTGGGTAATACATGTCGGCCCTTCGAGGGTGCAGTTGACCCCCGACGAGCCCAAATTGGAGTCGATCTGGACGGCGGTGATAGATTCTGGCTAGTGGCTGTGAGAGACTTTGGTGAGCAAGACGAGATTTTTCCTCCTTTTCGAGGTGGGTTGCTTTTCGCCAACCACAGCGGAGAAATCCTCCTCATCGACAGCAACGGGAGTTGGATTATTCATCCGGGGAAGAAGATGGTTTCTAATTTGACCATCGGGCTATGAATCAGGGTCAAAATAGCCAACAATTTAAGATGAATATGGGCTTGTCGTGCTTTGATGGGCGCTTACACATTAAAGATTTTCTCGATTGGATTCATAACGTCGAGAATTTTTTTGATTATTTAGAGATTCCGGAAGATCGACAAGTGAAACTTGTGGCCTACAAGTTGAAAGGTGAAGCTTCGGCTTGGTGGGAACAGCTTCAATATAACCGTCAACGATAAGGAAAACAACGTGTTCATACTTAGCCTAAGATGAAGAGGTTACTTCAACAACGTTTTCTTCCCCCCGATTATGAACAATTCCTATACCAACAATACCAAAATTATCGACAAACCAATCGCATGGTGAATGAGTACACAGAGGAATTTTATCGATTAAATGCTCGAGTCAATTTGTCAGAGACGAAAGATCAATTAATCGCTCGTTATATTGGAGGTTTAAAATTGACTATTCAAGACCATTTGGCTCTTCAAGGAGTCTGGACTATGACTGACGTAGTTAATTTGGCGATGAAAGTGGAAAATCAAATCAACTGGTCCACCGTGCGCACTCCGAGTAATTTTTGGCGACCAACTCAATAAGCTTTTTCTACTCCAAGAGGGTCAACATCTTCGGACAGCAATAAAAACATTAAAGACGCACCTTCTACTCAAGATTCGATGTAGAATCGAGGAAAGACTTCAATCCCTATTGAATCTAATACTCAAGGTCAAAATCAGCGGCCACAATGAACCACTAATGACCCTTATGTGTGCCCTACTCTTGAAAAATATTTCTGATGCAACCAACCTAGTCATCTTTTAAATAATTGCCCGAACAGACGAACGGTCAATTATGTGGAACAGGATGATAGTGAAGAGGAGCATGTGCTGGAAGAAGATATTTATAAAGGAGCTGAGATTGAAGTGGGAGACGAAGGAGAAGAGGTAGCTTGTATTGTTCAACGCCTTTTGCTAGCCCCAAAGGTGCAAGATGATCTGCAACGCCACATGATATTCTGAACCCAATGCACTATTAGAAATAAAGTATGCAACGTGATTATTGACAATGGTAGTAGCGAGAATATGGTCTCCAAGGCTTTGGTAAAGACACTCAATTTAAAA